TTAATCACTTTGGCAATATTGCTCTCTTGATGTAGCTTATTGTTTGGGCACCAACAAGAGAAAAGGCGATTGAGCGAATGAAGAGGGCTCTTGACGACACTGTTATAACGGGTACATAATAATATAGTTAATTGGTGAAATCATTCAATTTTATTTAATTTTTATGTCAGCATAATTGGACTTAATGTAGAAGAAACTTCGTGTGAGCCATTTGAATTTAAGCAGTGTTGTGAATAGAACTGAAGGGGCAAGTGTTTTTTTTTTTTTTGTCAAAGTTTTATTGAGAAGAGGTCGCATTTGGTGCGATGGCAAGTGCCTTCGCCCATGAGCGGTAGGTCTCGGGTTCGAGACTTGGGAGCAGCCTCTCCATAAATGGGGGTAAGGCTAGCCGACATTCACCTCTCCTAGACCCTGCGTAAAGCGGGAGCCTTGTGCACTGGGTACGACCTTTAAAGTTTTATTGAGAGTTTCAGGTTGCTTTAATTCACGATGTAAATGTGGAACACTCCTTTTTCGTTGTTAATGGTGGTTGATGTAGTTATTGCCTTTGTTCCACAGGGGTTCCCACAACCATTGAATACCATAAACTTATCCTTGACATAGAGGATTTCAAAAATGGCAAGGTTGATACTGCTTTTATTCCAAAGCATGAAGAGGAGCTACAAGCGGTAAGAAACTAGTCTAACCCTGAACATAAATTTACCGGCGAGCCTTCGATTTTCCATTCTGGGTTCTCATATTTACTAATTCCTCTTTCATGTGCCTACAGCCCCAACATTTGGTGCCCGCGGCCGCCGCCAAGAACTAGCTGGTGCATCTGCTTACATGGATGGCTCTCTAATTGCCACCATCTGGTCTAGTCGACCACATTTAAACGGCAAATCTTTCGCTTTTTTGTACGAGTTATATAATTCCGTGTCCTTTTTATACTTATTAGAACTAATAACATTATTCGCATGCCTTGCATTTGAGTATTTCATTTGAAATTTTGACATGTTCATGCGTTTCAGTTGGGTGTACAAACTTGTATTGCTCACCCTATGTGTATTTGCATACTATTTATATTTAGCAAGATCCTTGTTTCATAATTTAGGTTTAATCCCAATATCATATTGGGGTTTGACTTTCTGCTGAATTTCCTTCTTATGTTGGAGATTTTTTTTTTCAATGTGCCTAGAACACGAGCCGGTGATACAAGTGAAGGGACATTGAAAAATATATCCTCTCTACTTATATTTACTTATATTATGACACGTAGTGTATTGACCTTATGTTTTGGTTACATGGAAATATCTCTCCTTTGGAGGTTGGCTGAAAACAACCTTAGAAACTTGTTGGGTGGAGTGGCATCCTAGCAAATGATGGTGGGAAATTGGTAAATATATAATCACAAAACTAAATCTAAACAAATTTAGAAAACTATTCAACATTGTTTTTAGTTTTTAATTTTACTTGGTACACTAATATTTCCACATTTTGTGCAAATTATTGTCTAGTTTTGTTGTGTCTTTGGAGAAAAATCTTATTCAAGTAGGCAGCGCGTGTTTGGGTTTGGAATTAGAATGTCATTCGTACCCTGCCCTTCCCACCCTCACCATATCAGATTTTTGTCCTTGATGCCCGACCCATTAGGGGCGAAAACCCCCCAAGACCCTTCTCTCAAGTCCATAATGTTGTCTCAAATATTTTCTCCTTCGGCTTTAAATAAAAACTAATCACTCTGCACGCACACACGTGGGTGTAAGAGATATTTTTTTAATCACAGGCATTACGCACCCTTACAGAAGTCTTGCGTTAGTTGTTTTCATTGTAATTGTGAAGATCTATTTTTAATGTGTTTCAGCAATGCATATTCTAAAAAGTTGTCATGTTTTCTGTTTTCACTTTTGACATAAAGTAACTAAATAAAAAACAAGAGAAAATTGAAATAATGTTCACTGAACTTTAGTCTAATTAGAGTTTTGCTCCCTAAAATAAAAATCCGTGAGTATTATGGTAATTTTGAGTAACCATATTAGAACTTCTGTTGGTTATTTGCCTCTTAAAACTTTTTCATTTGGAAATAATAAATTGTATAGGAAAAGAGAATTGTGATTGTCGTTCGGCAGCAGCAGCAGCAACAGCACATTGTGGTTCTAAGATTTCTGTGATTCTCAAAACCCCAAATGGGAAAACCAAAAAGAAAGATGATAAGAACTCGTTTGGTTTGGTTCGGTGTTGGGTTTTCGCAGACTGGAGCTGCAATCTCTCACCTCGTCTGGAAAGATCTTCTCGTCGACCGCTTCGCTCTTTCCTCCGATGTATGTAACCCATCAACTCTCTCACCTCTCTCTCTCTCTCTCTTTATATATATATATATATATATATATATATATAGACACACACACACATACATACACTCAACATATGATTTCAAGTTTTCATTTTCTTTGTTGTGGGGGATTATGTAGGTGAAGCAAAAGTTTGATGCTCTTGAAGGTAGACTTGTGAACCTCGAGCGTTCTTTATCACCAGACCCGAATCATCATCCCGCTCGGGTATTATTGTTTTTGTTTTTTTTTTTTTTTTTTATTCTTATGATTGGGTTTGTGATTTGGTTGAATTTCTGATAGTTTTATGCAGTAGCCCCCGACCAATTCATCAATTTTTTCAGAACTAATCATAACCCATCTTAATAATCTCAAAATTAGGACAAATGATTAGCATTTGATAGTTATTATATGTGAGTTTTAACAAGGCCGATGATTTTCTATGTGGGTTTTGGTTATAATTGCAATTAGAAGAAGTAAGCTCACATTTTTCTGACATGAATTTCAGCAGTCAATTGCTAATTTAGATTGTTCATTGTTATGATCTTGGGGAGGATGTGGAGTGTTGTCCTACAACGAAATGTTAAGGGTCCTTTGTGTGGTCTTATAAGGAGTGGGATTACTCCGCTTATTGCCAATTGGTTTTAGGGTTGAACCTCAAGCTTTTTCCAGGCATAGAAAGATGTTGCCCTTGGTTATTTATGTTTTCAACAAAACTAGGTGGAAAATCTTTCTGATATGCATTTGTAGATATAATTGTTTATAATGGTGGGTGTGTGTGTGTGTGTGGAGCCATAAAGTAGATTTTCTTAGAGGTGCTTTTGCCGGAAAGTTAATAGATGGAATATATTAGATGCTATCTGAATTCAGAGTGTAGTCAGAGAGTAAAATCAAAGAAAAGAAATGGAAAAAAGTTACAATGATAATTCCGTTCATGTGCTCGGTAGATGTCTGAAGTTTGAAGAAATAGTCCCACACTAGAAGCAGGAAAAGAGCTCAGGTGGACTTAATAGTGGGGATTGGAGGCACATGAACTTTAGCTGGGTATTGGTGTTTATAAAAGCTCCTAGTATTGGTGTTTTCATTCTATGAGAAAAGCATATTCTGTGAAACATCAATTAAAGCACTTCATTTAATAATTCATTTCACCTAGATGACTACTTATGCAGTGATTTGGAGTCATATTTCAGTTGTGTTCCATTTGTATCACCGTTTCTGTGTTATCAAAATGGGGATGTGGGTAAACTAATATCAGGATAAAACTCAGTCACGTCTGGTTTCAGCTTCCACGATTTTGGATTAATTTTTTTCGTGTCAAAGAAATGAAGTTATGTGGTCGCAAGTGACCTAGTGGTTTCAAGTTGTCTCCTCTATCAGAGTTAGTATATGAGCCGTGTCTTGTTGACAGCCTTTGTGGGGGTGGAAATGCTGATAATTTAGTGTTGTCAAAGGGGAAGCAAGCATAAGGGATTTGTTTGAGGCTTAAGTTTGATTACTGCTGCCAACACCAAGAAGAAAATTAATAGAGAATCTTATTATTTCCAACATGGTCACCAATTGGCACTTGACAGCGTCTTAACCAAGATGGTTATTCAGATCCATCTTCTAATCCATTATTGTTAGTTTTTGAACAACTGATTTAGTGGTTGCATTTGACTTGTATTTGGCAGGTTGAGGACTAGATTTTTACTTGGAGCTCCATCAAGTTTTTGCTTGCCTCCTTGTTATTGAATTTTGTTGGCTTCTGATGCTAAGTTGAACTTGATTCATAGATAAAAATCAGTGTGCTAGCTCCCGACATCGGAGTCTCAATGTGATTATTTACTGAGTTACTTGCTGCTCATACACTCCAATACAATTCATTACTTGTTAGATTGTTGGCCTCGTTAAAATAATTCAAATTTAGCACAAACTTGTTCGATTAAGTATTATATGAAGAAAAATTGTGGTCTTGTTCTTTCAAAGATGATTATAAAACAGTACTATATGAATCTTTGCAGAATGAGAAGTTATTTTTAGGGTTTCGCCGGAATTTGGACTTTTATTAGTCTGAGTGATGGTGTAGGTTTTCTGGCTTAAAAAGGAGTTTTAACGAAACACTTCCAATACTGTTCCGGTACTGTTCATTTTTAACGAAAATGACATGTTTATTCTAAAAAGTCATTAATGGTACTATTCAACACTTTTTTGTTATTTTGATTAAAACTCAAAGTTTTCAAGCTATTTTCGTTAGTTTTCCTTAAAAGGAATTCAATTGGAATAGACCAGTATTTTTGAATTGGTAAAAGATTTGTACCTCGATTGGTTCCTTGCTATCAATTTCATCCATGTTATGTGTTCCACTCCCTATTCCCCTAATAACGCTTGTATCGTGAAACAAGATATTTCACCTGGCAGGGACGGTTTGTTGTCTTCAATAAGAATAAATAATGACCCCAAAAAATAGACTAGTAGGCCTAATCATGTTCACAGAAACTATTAGATCTTGCCAAAATATGAGGTCGCCTCAATATTACGTATCATTTAATTCGTTCTTTTATATTATATTTCAATGCGGCGTGGTTTATTTAAAAAAAAAAAAAAAAAAAGTTTCAAAAAATGATACAAAAACTATACTCACTAACACTAGGACGATCTCCTTCAAGATAAAAAGTTTCAAATTCAACTTCCTTGGATAGCGAGTTTGGTATCTAAATATTATAACTAACTTGATCCAATCCAAATTACCATTGTACAACTGAAACTTTTGAAAAGCAGTAACATTATTGTATAAATGTCTCTCCCACGGATTATATAACTTGCCAATTTCTCAATACAACTTGTCCAATCTAATAAAAAAAATTCTTGCAATTTAAATTGTAGACTGTAGAGACTGCCTGCTTGAACCCTGTCCGGTATTTTTCTACCGTCTTATCCCGGTTATACCCAATTTATTCCCATCACCTTTCCCGTCCTTTTTGTATTATTTACTATATAGGTTCGGTATAGGAAAACTTTCATGCCACCTCAACCCCGGCCAAGAAGACGAGCGGACGAGAGCACGGCGACGCTGAGTAATCAAGCGATTTTAATGCTCCGGATCTGCACTTGTCTTTATGATGGTCGCTGCGCATGTGCTTGTCACGGCACTCGGCGCTGCAAAATGCTTTCTCACCTCTGCAAACAAGGGGGAATTGAATGCTTTGTTAGTAAGGAATCTAAGTTACATGAGAGGATATGTAAGATGCCAAGTATATTTGCAAAGATCCATTCCCCATTTCCAAATCTAAGTTACATAGCCCTACCATTCGAAAAAAAAGTCAAACATAGCAAACAAGGACCGCATCACAAAACAATGTTCTTTCGCCATCGTAAAATATCTAAAATTAAGAGACCCTAAAAACTCAGATATTGGAACAAAACAAAACCAGCTGGAATTTTCTCCATCAATAATTGCATCAAAATATCTCACCACCATGCAGTTTATAACCTTTCTCCAATAATGTTTTATCTCTTAACACAATGCGTATGTCCATTCGGAAAGCTCAACTTCCCGGATTCTAAGAGACTTTGAGGTATACTTTCACACATAATTCGATTTCAAAAGATGAGACAACAACTTTGCTCACTACCTCCAATTAAGGTATATACGATGTATAACGGGTAGACCTGTCCTCCAAGACCCCATGGTCCAAGGAAATTGTGATCACCCACTCTTTGTTGTTGTATTTTCTCCTCCACCGTTGGAATAAAGATTGAACTGTGGGTGAACACAATTTTCTTGGACAATGGGGTCTTGGAGAACAGGACTTGTATAACAGGTGGATGCATTGAGTAGGGTGGCGATGTTACACCGTGGTAAAAACAGTGAGCAAATTTTTTTTCCAAAGTAAATGGCCACTTTCTTATAGGAGTAGTAGCAACTTAGTAAGAAAGTAATAATAATTAAAAAATACACAAATATTAACTCGACGAAATCTTTAATACTACAAAACCAAATGACTGCAATCAAAGATGTGTAACTTGGAAGTGTTCATTAAGTAAACAGCTGGGAGCTGGCATCCATGCTAAGTTTCTAAAGATGCATGTTCCATTGAGTCCTAAGACAAAACAACCCTGGCATTACTTCTTAAGCATGCAACAGTCTAATGACATTATTGTCAAACTAATGATTGGTGTACAGCCTGGCATATAATTTTATAGTGATATATACATAAATCAACACAAAATGTCACCAATGGATTTTGCTTGATTTTCTTTGAAACAACCGGCTTCGATACAATCAAATGAGAACCAAAGTTAAGGATTTAAGTGTGAAAACCCAAACTACTTATTGATGCTAGAGTACTCAAGTTTTACTTTGTCTGTCAAGCTTGTATCTTACTTTACAAAAGCTCACTGAGATGACTATTAGCAAGTTGGCACAAGGCCAGAAGTGGAATGTTAGCTTAATCAAGATGTACATGGTCGTCGAGGACAATAGAGAGAACACAACAATCACTAAGAATTTCCAGTAACTTTCTGAAACTACACTTAAAACCGTTGTTCTCAAAAGGAAACAATATTCAAACATCTTCTGCATGAATTCAAGCGCACAACACAGAGGACCAAAGGAGATGACCTAATACGGGAATGAAGTCATTCAAGTACCATTCAATCACAAACAATAACCTAAACAGTTAAACCTCTCCGAGAAAATCATGCCACGAAAGGTAACCCTCTACTCGAAACAAAAAATTACAAATACGAGGAGAAATACTATAGCTGCTGATGCAGATCCATGAGTCACATCCTCCTGCTTAGACCGACAACTTACCAGAGACCAAAAATTATGTTACAGATTGACCAGTTTGTTCAGCATTCACAGTATGTTCGAAACTTAGAAATCTAATTCTAAAATAGAACAAAATTGAAACATCATATATCTCCAAGAATTGGTCAATTCATCCATGCCAATAAAACATCTATCACCCCTAAAGTTCAAATCCTTTCAAAACACAATCTCCCACATTACACAACATAATCAATAAGCAAAAATTAATCCCATATTCAAAATCAACAACGTGGTTCAAAATCCACGATTTCCTAAATCACGCTTCACCAAAATCAATCATCAAAAGTGATTAACTCGTAACTATACATCAAGAGAACATATATACATACGTCTCTCTGTGTGTGTATATATTATGTATGTATATATAACTTTTGTTTTTACCTGTACATGAAAATGTCCAGTCCATGAAGCTGCTTCTTGCAAAGATAACAACAACTGAGAAAATCGGAAGCCCAAAACTCTCTTCCCACTTCACCAATACTCAATGGAGAAGTAGAGAACACCCCAGAGGCCACCACCATACCAGCATTAGGATCATCCACAACCCCACTCAGCTTATCACCGATAAACCCGCTTCGATGTCAAATTGTTTCCGAAATGCGAAATCACACACGTATAGCTCTCAGACAATTCATCCACCACAGCCCCAGCCCTCTCCACACAAAACCCACTTCTGAAATTAGCTGCAGGCTTAGCTGCAGAGACTATGGGGATTGGGCTCGACCTTGGTGACTTTTCAGACAAAGCCACTTCATTGGGGCTGCCCAAATCAGTCATGGCAGCCACTATTCCAAGCCCAACAACCCCATCTTGGAAATTTCTTGGGGATTTGATTGACTTGGGGAACTTGTCAGAGGAAATTGACTCGGAAAAAGTAGTGAAAAGTGAGATACTGATTGTGGGTCGCTTTTTCCCGGAAAAATTCTCCATCTTCCGGGAAAGTCTGCAACAGGGTTTTGTTCAGATTCTCTTACTTTTGCTAAATTGAATGGTTGGTGATTTTGTTTTAGCTGATTTAAAGGAGGATTGCCAAAGCAGAGGAAGACTGAGGTAATAGAGAAAAGGGTTTTCTTGACTCTTTTTAGGAAACCAGGAAAGATTGGAGATATTGAGAGAGAGAGAGAGAGAGAGAGAGAGAGAAGGGGGGGGGGGGGGGGAGAGACAGTTTTGTGCAAAGCTGGGAGGGAGTGAAGTAGAAGCAATGGAGCAAGTAGGAGGAGTATTATTTTTTGCTAAATTCAGTGCAGCTTCTGAGAGAAGTACCTCCTCTTTCTCTCTCTAAAATCTATAAAGCTTGAGTATTCCTAGAGAGAGATGCAGAGGAAGACCACCTTTCAGGTCTCTTCTCTCTGGTCTTCTCTACCCCTCTGAGCTATTAGAGGAAAGCGCAATATAAATAGGAGTAGGACTCCCGTTTATTTCCTTCCCCTTCCTTCTCCTTCTATTTAAACCTCCTCCTTCTATTTGAACGGTTGCAGTCAAATCATGTTAATATTTTATATTAATTTTTTATAATAAGAGAAAGACAAAATAGAAAATATGAGAAAAGATGATGGAAGAGGATGACAAGAGAAGGGGAGAAGATCCTAGTTCATATAAATACACTATTTTTTTATTTAAAATTTTTATTAAATTATTATTCTTGCAATAAAAATACATAAACAATAATTTTTCATTTTATTTTGTAATAATTAGTGGTTGTCACTTTCCTTATTCTTTCTTTTTCGTATATTGGCCCCTCCATGTTTTGGTTAATAAATCATGGCCGTTGAGTTGTTATATTCTTTTGCATCTTTCATATTTGTGACCATAAAAAAAATTAAAAAAACTCCTTGTATATTGTCTAGCAAAACACCATAATATTTGCGAGTGAGTTGCTTCAAAAATGAGTTTCGTTTTGTTTCGTAACTTGTTCACAAAAAATTGTCTCACTAAGTTAAGATTTGATTAAAAAAAAATTCTTTATATTATAAGCAATGATCTTTCGTTTAAAAGAATATTTGACTATTAAGAGTACGACTCTTGCTCTCTTAAATATCTCACAACATTATGATGGATTGACTAATGCTTCACATTTTGTCGAATTTAAATTCCAAATTTGATAAACTTTTGGTTGATTGACCAAATCTAAGTTTACTCATCATTCAAGAGCCGATACTCTAATTTTCTTAAAGAAAATAAAAAGAGAGAAAAACAAATGTTGCTTTTTTTTTCTTGACTCTTCTTATCTTTGTAACAATTAATGACTTCTAAATTTTAAATTTCTCTACTGATAATTCTAAGTTAATACCACTCATGACTTTTATGAATGATAAGTTTGATAACTTGACTTAATAAGCGTTATTTTTTATTCTAAGAAAACTTTTAGTTTGGTTTGCCTTCTATGTTTAGAAGAAAACGTATCAAATCAATTAAAGATTTTAATGCCGAGGTATTCTCTCATGTACCCAAAATATTATGTGGCCATTACTCTTGATTTCCTCCCTCCCTCTCCATCCGTTTTGTTTCAACCAATCACAATTGGAGAAGAAACTAATAGAATTGTGCATTTTTTTAAACAAACGATATTATCTACACTAAAAGGGAAAAGAGTGAGCTTAGCCTCACAATGGGCTAACAATAATGTTGTTCAAATTCACCTTTATCTATAATTGAACCTAAGACCTCTCACTTACAAGTTAATAGGAATACAACTAGACTATAGTACTAAGTGGCTATTGTACGTTGGATACATGCATGAAAAGTCCCTACTAAATAAGGATCTAGATGACGAAAATACACTTATTTAATAAATAATGGGCCAAAAAAATTTGACAAAAAGTGAGGGTATTTTTGTTATTTTTGTTCTAATTTAACGGAGATTTTTTATCGTATGACCAAAATAATTAACGATGGACAAATTTAGGACCACTCTCATTGATTTTAAATCTTAGGGACCAAAATTAGGAGTTATGCCAGTCTCAGAAACTATTTTGACTAAAAAGTAATAAAACCATAAGACCATCACTTAGTAAACAATGCGTTAAAGTAACTTTGCCAACCAATCAGCCCTTATTTAAGCTTTAACCTTTTTAAATACAATGATATATTCACACTAAGAAGGTGCACAATGGGTCAGCCACATAATGAGTCAACCATAATAATTTGGTACCAAATTCGTCATTCACAAGAGTCGAACTTAAGTCCTCCCACTTACAAGTGGAGAGAATTATTACTAAATTGTAGTATTAAGTGACTTACTATTTAGTTTATTTATGAGCAGACATGGGCATAGCTACAACTACATTGATCTGAGTAGAAGTGCTTTTTCCAATGAACCTAAGTTTGAATCCCTCCCTTCTCTCTCTACAGTTTAGTTAATTTAGAGTATCTCCGATGAAGTAGGCAAATGAGTAATTCATTTTGATGAGCTACATAGACAAAATAAAGCTCCAATGGAGTAGGCAAAGTTTGCCTACTCCCCTAAAGTTGACAACATTGCCTACTTCTACATGTGTAGCTAAAAAATGGATCCCACATATCTTTTATAATAAAGTAGTCCATGTTGGGGAAAAAGATAAAAATGAATGATAAAAGTAAATACCAAAGGTGAGAGACATTAATAAAATAAAAATTTTGTTTTGTTAGATTGGATTGACTAATTTTTTAATAAGGCAACTGAGTAAGCAACTTGTCACGCCAACTATTATAGTACAATTTTACCTATTATGCTTGCCTACATTATTAGAGAACATCATTAGTAGGCCTTAAAATTTCTTGCATGACATGAAAATAATAGGTGTCGGGTCAACTTGTTAACAAGCCAATCAATATCGGGTCACCTGTTAATAACTCATTAGCAAGTTGGGTCATTATCAGTCACCTATTAAGATTCCAATAAGATATGTGTAGGTATGACACAAGCACAACCCATTCACCAGGTCTAGACATTAGACATAATAATATCTTACATGACTCGTTACGCAAACATGAAACGAAATGACCTATTAACGAATTCGGTCGTTACTGAGTCACCAATGAACAATCTGTTAAAATAATGGGTTTGACACGACACGATTCGCTATGATAATAGGTATGACATGAAAACTGTGAGACCATATTTTCCACTTCTCCAAAACAGTGAATATAAGGCCTATTTTTTCAGTCCGACCTAGAGTGAGTAGGGTAACCTTTACAGCATTACAATAACATAGCAACAGTTGGTGGTTCCCAACAAGCTCTTACAATTTATTGAGAAAAGAAAATGCAAAATGAAAGTTATCTATTTTTTGTCTAAGTGAGTAGCAACCTATGCGAGTCTGGGTGAGCTAGGCGGTTTAGGTGGGCGCCTCAGCAGGTCTAGGCGTCATTTCTTAATTTTCAAATGCCTTGCTATTAATCGAGGCGGTGACTAGCTGCCTAGCGCCTAGGCAACGCTAGGCGGGGATTTTTAGAACAATGTCTGAGGGTACCCGAGTAAGGAGATCGCCTAGGGCCCCCAATCTCGGGGGGCCCCCAAATTTTTTTTATATGTTCTGTAAATGAAATATAAATATACCAGAAGTTAAAACCATCATAATTGGGTTGTTGGCGCAGTGGAAATGCTCCGCCTCTTTTTTATGTGTTTAAGTAGGCATGTGGCTCCCGTTCGTGACACCTTGAGAATTCTCCACCAAATGGGTGTTGTTTTGATGTTCGGAGGCCAAATGCCCGTCGTCAAGGTAAGAATTTTTCCTCTTAAGTTACACAAAATTTCACTGGTTCTTTGTTGTTTCAGTGAGAGTTCATTAATCTGTGAGCATGTTTGGGAATTGAAATGAATTGTGAATCTTGGTTCGTTCTCTTTGCTTGAAATTTTAGTACATTTTGTGTAATTTTGGGAGTTGAAATGAATTCTGAAACTGGGTAATGGTTGTACATATTGTATTATTAGTGAAAAAAAAAATTCATTTTCATATCCTTAAAATAAGGTTAATACAATTGCATTGAATGATTTCCTTCATATATTGGCTTCTACAGGGGTTGGAAAAGTTTCCTGATAGAGATTTCGGCATAGGTGTGTGCAAGAAGACAGAGTACTTCATCCCCGAGGCAAGTCCTTCTACACAAATTCGTGTGGAATACATAGTTGTATAGGAGCTTTTTGTAAACAAAGCTAAAAGTACAACTTTCTTTGTGTACTTTTTATTTTTAAATGTGATTTAAGTCCTATGATGGGAGTGAAGGACTGAAATTGCTGAAAATATACATAGCTACATCTGTTTATTTTGATTTAATATTAATTAATCTTATATCTACTCTTAAGCCTTTTAAGGGTATGTAATATGCTTGAATTGCTTAATTTGTTAATTCAAAGTTCCAAATCCATTCATTTGCAGCAAGCAACCAAAAAATTCACAGAAAGCAAAAGGAGAAATTATTGGTTGATGATGTAATTCAAGGCCCTGTTTAACTGTTATTCCTAATTCCAAATTATGAATATACATCAGTGAAATTAATTGCAAACCATTCATTAGTTCATGGAAAATCACATAAGCATATCCCATGTTTGTTGATCATTGCAAATTTCAAACTACAAAAATTCAGAGTAATAAGCAAAAAGAACTTACAATGAGAAGCACAAAGATACAGACAACAATTGATATCTGATACATCTCACAATTTGAATATCATGTGGATTTAGTTGCTTTCATTTATTTTTAAATAATTTAAAAATGAGTGTTAAATTTTGGTTACGGTTTCAAACCCGCAGCAGAGCGCGGGCTTCTTTGCTAGTTTTAACTGAAATCATCAAAGGTTGCACATTGGCACCAAAATTGAAGCCTAAGTGGTAATTGGAAAACAAAACTTTTGTTTAGGTAGAAAATGCACACACTCTTAATTAGGGTGCAACTCGGACGGGTTGGGCCAGTTGGATAGTCAATCCAATCCTAACCCAACATTCCTAATTCGAGTTTGGGTTGGTTTTAGATTCATACAAAAAAAAAAAAAATTTATGAGACGCACTTTTCAAGTTTCAAACCATGCAAAGTTGAAATTAAATGACAAAATAATACCAACGTTGTAATCAAAAGAATCGTAAAAGTCGTAAAACTAAAGAACACATGTTATAGGATCCTGTTCCGTGCTTGTGCAAACTCTCATTCATTTTATATCTAAACAATTAACGAATAATAAATATATAAATTTATGCGTCAATTAATATTGAATAAAGTATTTTCAGCGTGCAAATGTAATACACGAAAGTATTTAAGGTTTAAATCTTTATTTAAAAATTATCGGGAAAAAAAACATTTCAATGGAACATTTCCAAATGTAGTATCAATATCGAAATGCATTAAACGGAGGGTTCAAATTTGTGTTATCATTCCAACACTCAGCTGTGTCAGGAAATGGGGGTCACGGTTCTTCTGAGCCCAATACGTGTTTCAGCTTCTCTCTACCCAAAACGCCTTTCTATTTTCTGCCATCAATCCCATTCACAAAATCGAGCCTTGGCACGCAAGGTCGGTTTCTCTCTTGAAAAATTATTTGTTGCTGCTTCAATCTCCTCAATTGTGTATTTCCTGAACATGAAATCATATGTTTTTGCTTCTATTGCCTTCTTCTTCTCCTCAGCTTCTTTAAAGGCTTTCATTTCTGCATTCCTCCTTTTCTGTGCTTCCATTACTGCGATCCTTTGAGCTGCTTCTGCAGCCTCCATGGCTGCCATACATTTCAATTTCTCATTCTCTGCAAGTGCCAATGCAGCTTCCTGAGCTAATCGTACCTGTTCTAATCTCTGTTCCTCTTCCAATTTCCACCGGTGGAGTTCGGTTGCCTGTGATGATTTATTATTAGAATTTAGGGTAAAGTACAAAAGAATTACCTCAACTATCGGTGTCACGATACTTTCATACCTCATCTTTTAAAATTGACAATGTCATACTTCATTTTTAGAATTTGGTCCAATGTTATACTTTCCGTTACTTGACCGTTTATTTTTCAGTTAAATGCTGATGTGGCTTGATCTAGATCCCATTTTCTATTAAAAAATTAAAAAATATTATTAAAAACTAAAAAAAATCATTTAATAATTTCTAAATATTAAAATAATAAAAAAAAGTTTAAAAAAAAAAAAACTTATGTTTGTCCCCCCCCCCCCTCTTCTCTCTCTTCTCTTCCATCTTCATCTTCTTCTCCCTTCCAGTTCCTTCTTACAACCCAGAAAAAAAATAGGAAGAAGAAGAAAAAAAAAAAAACAAAAAAAATCGAAACCGAATCTGCAACGAAGAAAGAAGAAGAAGAAAGAAGAAAAAAAAAAAACCGAAATCGAATCTGCAACAAAGAAAGAAGAAGAAGATCCCCCATCTTCATCTTCATCTTCATCTTCCTTCTAGCCCCCTTCCTGCAACCCAGAAAAAAGGAGGAAGAAGAAGAAGAAAAAAGAAAAAAAAAAGAAAAGAAAAAAAAAGAAACCGAATTTGCAACGAAAGAAGAAGAAGAAAAAGGAGGAGAAGGGGAGGAGGAGGAAGGGGAAGAAGGAGGAGGAGGAGGAATGCGGGGAGGATGAGGAGAGAAGAAGAAAAAAAAAAAAGAGCCCAAATCTGCAAAAGAAGGAGGAAGAAGAAGAAGATGGGAGAGGAGAGAGAAAGGGGGGGGGGGCAAAAGGGAACGAACATAAGTTTTTTTTTTTTTAAACTTTTTTTTATTATTTTAATATTTAGAAATTATTAAATGATTTCTTTTTAGTTTTTAATAATATTTATTAATTTTTAATAGAAAGTAGGATCTAGATCAAGCCACATTTTAATATTTAGAAATTATTAAATGATTTTTTTTAGTTTTTAATAATATTTATTAATTTTTTAATAGAAAGTGAGATTTGGATCAAGTTACGTCAGCATTTAACTGAAAAATAAACGGCCAAGTAACGGAAGGTATAATATTGGACCAAATTCTAAAGATGAGGTATGACATTGTCAATTTTAAAAGATGAGGTATGAAAGTGTCGTGATACTAATAATTAAAGTAGTTTTTTGTACTTTACCATAGAATTTATGCTTAAATAGTTGTTCTGAACCCAAGATTTATATTTCATCAAAGAAAAGGTTTTGCATCAATACCTTCTGTTTTGCTGTGAGTGCCTCCTTGCAGGCTGTACTGTACATGTCCATTGTTTGCTTGAGCTCTAGCCTGAGCCTCCTCATCTCAGCTTCCAATTCATCCTATTATTTTCAAGAAAATTACGTATTAATACTCTGAACTATACCTGCATGTATGCTTTATAAAAATAAAGCTTCTTTTGGATTGTGGAACTAAAACCAGTAAAAACTGGTAAATTTTAGGTATCAATTATTGAAGGAATGATATTGGGACACCAGAACTGGCTCGGATAATCATTTGTGGTATATTAGTTTCTGCTGTCAAGTTTGTAGTTGGAGGCATGCTCCTTATTGCTGGCTTTGTGGTGGATACTGCGTCCTCTCCCATGCTGTATTGGTCAAAGAAACTTGTTTGAGTAATGACAAGAAACCAGACGTGAGGTGGGAAATAACAGATGCTAGAACATAATCTGAACTTTCGACCTAAAAAAAAAAAAAGAAAGAAAAAACCGAATCTGGCCAACCTCTGCATTGCTGGTTGTGGCTGAATTGCGTATCATTTGTGTCAGAAGCTTTGTTTGTTTGGTGCTGTTTTTGATTAGGCAAGTAAGCTGCCTGGGACAGTGAAGTGGTAGCAGCTGGCATATATGATATCTTTCCCTTGCCAACGACATACACAGTGCAGAAACTCGGTGCCTCTTTTGAGACGGTGTTTGGAACGTCTGTTGTTTTGAATCTGTGACGAGATTGATATAATTATGATGCATGCGTAATTGATGGCTTCCGAGAAGAAAAAACTGAGGTAAGACTACAACGTGCGGAACCAGATCTTGAATAAATGATTTCTCAAACCATCAAATTTTCGGCGTATGTAAGCTGGTATTAATTGAGACAGATGTATGAAAGTTTTCTTAGTTCATTGGATTTTAAAGATGTAATACTTAACTACCTACAGTTATAGTTCCATTCAAATAAATGAATGATTTATACATTTTACGATTGATGCTTGTTCTCTTTGATACTATTTTTCTGATGAATTTTACAGTGTTGGTGCATATGAACTGAGATATAACTTGGAGAAGAAATCAGTACCTGAGAAGGCCGCTTCTCGACGGCGCACCAAGTACCAAAATGTCGATTGAATTATTGACAACATAGTTTACCAGTGCTTTTGCTATGTTTTTATCCTTGATCATGACTTCATTGCATTTTAGCTGTTGCAAAAATCAAATAAGCAGTACAACTACAAATCACGTTGCGAAACGAGGGATTCCGCTCAACTGTTCATGGAGCGGGATAGGCAATGCACTATCACTTTTATGAAGGGAAGAAGCATTACTCACAAGTTTTTTCGTGCAAAAGCAGCGGAATGGTTGAAACAACTCTTTGGCTTGAGCCTTTTCAACCTCCTTTGTGGCTGGTGACGTACATTAGTAAATTACGATCATCATCAGCATCTTATGCATTCATGCATTTACACACACACACACACATACAGAGAGAGAGAATGTACTTTGCGTGGGAATTGCGGTTATTTGTCTAACTTGGAGCAGCGTGAGAGCTTGACCTCTGGTGACAAGACTATCAATAGTCCATTTGAGAGCATGTTGGCTGCCCTTGTCATTGTCTATTGCTACAGCCACCACCTCCCCCGCCTTCTTTTGTGTTTGACCTCTTCCCATTTCTCACCTTCTGTGAATTAATTCAACTCTCCATCAAACTCTAACCTGCATGCTTACGTAGAAATGTCTCCGGCTCTGAACGAAACAAATCCCCGACGGAGAACCACCGTCATACGCTCTCCTTGGCAACGCCTTGGCACTGAAGCTGTGCTATATTTTCATCAACTCTCTCTCTCTCTCTCTCTCTCTCTCTCTTAAATATTCTAGAGCTAGGGAGATAAGAATGTGTGGAGGGAACGATAGTATAACCAAATTCCCTAACCATGTTGTCTTTGTGCCTCCCCAAATACTCTTTTGTTGCATTGGAGCATGCAGTTGTAACTTCCACATACTTGTTATTCCTAAATTAGCAAAATTTACATGCCCCCAAAAAATCTAGACGAGTCTGAGTCGTTTGTCTCCAAAAGAAAAGTTAGCGAATCGTAACAACACACACACACACACATATATAGATGTACATATATATACATAAACAAACGACTATATATATGTTAAAGAGGTGGCCATCTAGTAACTAGCCTTCACGAAAATTTAAACAAATTAAAACAAATAGAAGGCCATTCTAAATCTTGTTGAAACAAGCTAGGTTAACTAAAAATTAGAGAAAAGCAAGAGAAATCATAAATATAACGGCAGCTAAGATATGAACTGAGCATTGTTGGATGTGAAACCTGCATTTACGGATGGTTGCAGCTTAATCTAAGAAAACATCTCAACTGCTTAGTCAGCGGCCAAAATTGTTGCCTCTTGAGGCTTGCTGCCGCAGTTGCTTCCAATGCAAGTCCCGCCTATTGTAGGGTTTAGGGTTGGCCTTATGTTTTGCTGCTAGTACATGTTGCTTGTGCGCTTCAGCTCTATTCACTAGCTACTTTCTGTGGCAGAGTGACGTTAAAACGGAAGCTGGAAAAACCTGATGCTAATTTTGTGGTACTCTCAAACTTGGAGGGTTTCTCCTATTCAAGTCACTCTAGCAGGCGCATAATTTTGGAAGAAAAAAATGTACAGTGCCATCAGTACTTGGCCTTACTAATAATAGTACGTACAAGCAAAGGAAATAATACGTACGAAAAACTAACTGAACAATTCTGGTGAGATTAGTATTTGATAGCGGTTGATTCGTTTCATAGTTATTCCAAGACAAGCAGTACAAGCCTACAAGCAAAGGAAATCCGACCAACATGCACAACTAGCTATTCCAAGAACGAAATTAAACACACGAGAAAACAACCAACAAAGTAGTATCTATCCGCCATGAATGAACAGAAAAGGCAATCCAACAGCTGCAGCCACCGCATGTTCCAACCCTAAGCTTCATTACGATTATATCTCAGAAGAGGAATCAGAAGAGGAATCGGAAGAGGTATCAGAAGAGGAATCGGAAGAGGTATCATCCAATAAGGATGGTTCACCTCTCTCCACTCGTGCCCTGGACATTTCAGCCATTTCTCTCTGTCTTGCCCTGATTTGCTCCACTTCCTCGTGGATTGGGTACCCATGTTTCAGACGCCAATAACACCGCCTATAGGGACGAGCATAAGAGCGGCCATGAAGGCAGACGTTACCCACAAAACCACAAGTCCTACACATTAGTATATAGCCCTCTCCAACTTTAGTTACACCCAACGGGACACTTTCCCGGTAGGGACACAGATGTTGGTGGTGGCCGTCCACAAGGCAAACTGCACAATGCTCATTCTGAGAATGGCATTTCTTAGACTCGCGGTAACGTTTCTTCTTTGAAGTAGGAGTATCATCATCAAGTTGGAGTTTACTCATAGAGCTTTCGACAGCTTTTGTTTCTTTCTTCTCATCTGTTTGTTGCACATAAATTAATTAATACTAGATATATTTACTCAGCTAATTAACAGGTCAAATTAAGGGAGCAGGGCACAAATTACTACTCAACAAAATCACCCACCAAAAACAGATACATATTATCAATATAAGAAGGGAGTTCTATCGAAACAAAAAACTAGGCATGTAATTAATTTAAGGGTAATTCTCGCACGGTGACGAAAAACAGCAATTTTTTGTTTGATATGTTTCGTCAAACGCATATATTTGGGTTTAACACCAATTAAGCTGCAACATTTTTGGTTAATATGCAGAATTTACAAACCCTAAAATAGAAACCAAACGCATATATATACACCAAGACAAATCCGGAACTCACCTCGGAGCTCCGCTGGCTGGGCTGGATTCTTCCCCCGCCCGGATTCTGATCGCGCGAGCGAATTGGCCCTGCCTCTGCCTCTGCCTCTGCCTCCGCCTCCGCCTCCGCGCTTGGCGTCGTCTCTGGGTACCCGGATCATGGCTTCGTCTGTGCGAGAGAGACTCAGAGAGATTGCACGAGTTTGGAGATTTCACCTTTAGGGTTACGCTTTTGACAAAACAATGAAATTACCCTCAAATACACCAACTTATTCCACGTCATTTGACCGTCATGCCCTTAGTATGGATAATGATAGAGACATCAAAATTTTAAATCAAATTTGAAAAATTAAATGATGTGTTACTAATAAAATAAACACGTTAATCAATATTTAAATAATAATATAATCATTAACAACCACATCATTTAGTTTAAATATTTTGATCTCCTTAACATTATACAAAAATAAAATATCAATCGTTTCTCCATCTACTTAAGTGTGCTTAAGGGGGGTGGGTTAAAAAAAAAAACTGAAAAACCAAATAATTCGAATGGGACATCAAACTTAACTCGAAAAAAAAAGAACCAAATAGAAATAAAAAAAGGAGTTTTAATGAAAAGGGCTTTGTACTATTCATTCTTAACCATAAGGACATTTTATGTATGAAAATGTCCATAATAGATCAGACTCTTCTCTTTATTTACTCTTATGCCATTACATGCGGACCACAAAGATGTTGACATTTCTGTCTGGAAATACATTATGATGATATTCAACTTATGCTAATTTACAGCTAGCTCTTCAGGCTTCTATCATGTTGTCAATGTTATACAGCTCTTCTTCTGACAAATTATTCCAATACTGTTCATCGTCTTCTACTAGCTCTGCATCTCTTTCTTTATCTTCTTTCACCTTGTAATATATTTCTGTTGTTTCTTCTTTGAAATTTTGGGGCTTCCAATAAGGCTGATGACTGATTCTTGTCTTACTGTAAATATACATCTCCTCTTCTTCTGCTACTAGTACCATGTCATACCTAAAATCTTCAAACTTATCCAAAGCAAGCATTTGGATCTCTCTAAATTTTAAAATATCTTTGTATGAAGGAGTCCACCTATGTGAGGAGATAGGATTTAGTCTAAAGGACTCTTCATTGATCATGGCTATATGCCTAGCTTTCTCCTTATGCATATGTACATACCAATCTGGAGGACTACTAATAAAACTTATGCAAATTTCTTTCCACCTTTCTAGATAATCTTCTGCTACTTTTATAAGCTTTTCAGGAAATAATTCTAGTTGAGAAATACGGTTAATAAATATTTTATCGAGATAACCAAACTCTAATAGTAAGGTAGGGGTAACTTCTATCACATTATGCTTTTTCTGATGCTCATAACTAAAATGCCATGATTTAAAATCTTTCATGTTAATCCTAGCCACAGCTACGCTAACATCTGGTTTACAAATACAATTCTCTGTACTATCACAAAGACATGGAGGATACATCTTTGTAATAATATCCATCCCTGGTTTTGGATTAAAGATGGACTGATACAAGGCCCATTGTAATTGTAATTGTAATTGTAACTCTTTCATGGACTGTGATGCTCTGCTCAAGATCTCATTTTGCATGTCTGTTGGCATTATTCTTAGTTTTTCCTTTGAAATTTCTTCTAATAAAACATCATCTAATATCAAGTCTGAAGATATATTCCTAAGAAAACTTTCATATTTTTCTTGTTTTTCTTTGTCACTCAGAACCTGATGCTGTTCATTATTTTGATGTTGCTCCATTTCAACGTCTTCTTCTAGAGCTCAATCTTAATTTCTTCTATGGGGTCATTAGCCTATTGTCCTATGGGTTCAATAACCTCTTTTCCTTTATTCTTATGCTGATCAATTTCTAAATCTATTTTCAATTCTCTTTTCAAGGTGTCACTTGCCTTTTGCTGCATCCTAAGAGATTGGAGTTCTTGATTCATTTTGGTAAACTTACCAAGTAATGACTCATGGTCCCTAGAAATGGCTTGAAGGTTGTGCTCAAGAGAATGA